GTATTGTTTTTTCTTGGCGTGCCCGCGCAGTATGATTCATAATGTAGATGAGTGCTTCGTCTCCGTCAACAAGGGTAGGCGATTGCAGCACATCAGGTGTAATACGCCAAAGGATGACTTCCCACTCTACACGGCGATGCGGCGCACGTTCGAGTACCAGACGAAGCCCATGATGCTGAGATACAACCAGGAAGCGTGCAACGCGGTCTTGCTGTACGGCACGGGTAGACGACAGTTCGTGGCACAAGTTGAAGAGCGGTTGTCGGAACACAAGCAGCAGTTCGAGGAGTGGGGGATGGCAGGAGATGTGGATCAACTTAACGCGGGCATCATGCAGATTGTACAAGAGGTAGCAGCAGAGAAGTTGCAGGAGCCCCCAGGGCACGTCGAAAAACGGGAAGCAGCATTGGCACAGCGCTCTCAGCTGAAAGATCTACTCAAGGCGAGACGTCAGGCCAAGGAGAACGAGACACAGTACCCAGATGAATGCAATATCGAAGTAGCCAGATTAAGTCGACAGTTGAAGAAGTTTAAGAAGCAATTTATTCAATCCCTTATGGAAAAAAAACGCATTGAGGGTCTTTGGGACGCGTGGAGAGCCAGGAGATTCTACGACGCTCACGAGATAGCGAGGTTGTTGGCTGGAACCTGCCGTGGGCCGCGCGGCCGACGGTACAACAGAGCGCCTACCTCAAGGGCATCGGCAGCAGAATGGATCGACAAGTTCCAGCTGGCAGGAGAAGAAGGCGGGGCACGAGCGCAACCGCTAGAGCGAGGTGAAGACCCTGAAGTTTGTTCTGGATTCTGGAGATTACCTTTTGGGCAGCCGGCTGTGGAATCGGGTTTCTGTGGCATAGATAATAGCAGAGACGAAGGACATCGAAGTGAAATGACTCGTGGCAGAGAAGTAACTACTGGAACGAAGGCTTCACGCAGTGCACATCACAAGCCTTCGTATCTGGAATGGACCAATCCTAACGAGACCGATGAGATGCTGGACTTCACTGCTATTCATGAGGACGCTTTGTTCATTGTGGAGCGCCTCAGGAAATCCCTGAAGCGACTGACGCCATGGAGAGCGAAGCCCAGCTGGTCGGCACCAGGTGACGTACTTAGAGTTTTAGCAATGCCAAATTGGCATTATCGACCTCAACGCGGCGGTGGGCTGGGACTGCAGCCCGAGGACGAGCAGATTGAGGCGCCAGAGTTTGAGCGGGCCCTTTACTTGCTTTGCAGATGTATCAGAACGGTTGGGAGAGCACCTGCAGCTTGGCATCAGGCCTCGTGTTGTCGGCTAGCGAAACACAATGGCAAGCTGGGCACGGCGGCGGAGAGACCAATCGTGTTTTTTTGGGGCTTGGTAGATCGTTCTATCGTTCTTTGATGAAGAAGGATCACCACTGCGAGTATTGGGCTCATGGGGGCATATCTCACAGACGTCGAGAAGATGCAATGTTGGTTCAACAATGTGGATCAGCGAGGCTTCGAAGAGCAGGGGTGGCACATATCGCGCGGTACCATGATGCCAGCAATGCCTTTTATTGCGTGCACAAGGATGTAGTAGAACGTGCTGTATCGGAATTGGCGCAGGAGGGCAAGGAGGATTTCTTTCTCCAGAGGATCTACACCAGTACGTTTGTGTTCGCTGATGGACGCACCAGTGCACACATGGCTCATGGGTCGGGAGTACTTCCAGGTGATCATGCTGCCACCAAGCTGTTTGTGATCACGTGCGGATACGGCGTCGAGTCCATGACGTCGTTTCTAGATCAAGGTCCATGGCAGAGAGCCCTGCACATGACAATGCCAGATGCCATCCAGTCGCCGCGCGACCAGAGGACCGTCGACCGTGCCACCAGCACCTTCGTCGACGATGTCGTTCGGAAAATCATGGGAGCGGATCAACATCATCCAGAGAGTTGCTTCATGGGAAAATCGAGTTTTTGATCACGGGCTCGAGGCAGTTGGAGGAGCACAAAATCGGGACAAACATGTTAAACTCGTCCAGGGAGCGGGCCCCGCAGCGTCGAAGTTCAATCGAGCTTTTCACCTGAGACGTTTGGGACTTGAAGACAAAACAGTTTCGGCGGCCCGATATCTTGGGGGGGAACAGCACTACAATAATGGATTTTCTGCTGAGAAAAATGTTCGACTTCAGGCAGTAAAAACGGCTTGGTTCAAAATGGGGGCGTTTTGAACTACGGCGCAAGTGAGTATGCGTTTCAAGGGTATTGTGTTTGTGGGGGCGGTCATCAATGCGGAGTTTCGGGGCTGGGAGCTTACGTCCTCAACATGAGGACGCCCGTCGCCCGGCAATCCCTGGAGCCCCTGCAGCAGCAGATCTTTAAATATGCACGCGTGGTCCTACAGGGGAAGCGCGCACATCGTTCTGAACGCAAAGTACGTGCACCGGGTAATCTTGAAGTACAGCGCCTGATGAAGTTCGGCAGCCTTTTCGTCGAGTTCAGGGTCAGACGTCTGAAGTGGTTGCATGATACCGTTGCGAAACAGCGTGATCATCGTCAGGTCGTCGCAGCTCTTGTCGGACAGGCACAGTGTGAGGCTGCGAACTTTGAAGTCTCGAGTGATGGCGAGATCCCCCCCACGGCCCATGCGTGGACTAAACATTTCTGGGCTGATGCGCAAGCGTTCTTTGAAATTGAGGAAGGGGGGGGGGGGGGGGGGGGGGCTCGAATCAGAACATGAGGGCAAGGTTCTAAAGCTTTTTTCGGGTAAAGCCCGAGATGTTGTTGTTTTGTTGCTTCTTTTTTTTTTTTTTTTTCTGAAAACCGATGTCACGCAGCTCAGGTCTAAGGAGCTTGCGGTTTCGATCCCTCCTCCAGGGCCAGAACCGTGTGAAGTTACCCAACCTGCCACCCCGACAGGGGGGGGGGTCTGTAGAGTTTGAGCGTCCAGTTTGCCAGGGTAGGTTTATCTCTCAGAGGGCTCTAGTGGCCCACATGAACCGTGCATGCGCACGAGTAGGAACAGATAGAGGTCCCCTGCTAGAAGCCAAGTGTAAGACGAATAGAGTGCCACATGCCGTTACACTTTCAAACAATTGCCTGCTCTGCCAAAGCACATTCGCGGACAGGGAAACGGCACAGTGGCACTTTGCAGCAGCACTCAAGCACAAGAGATGCATGACATATTTTAGTTCCAGAAATCCTGAGCGAGTGGCGCACAAGTGTACGCGGTGCACTCGTTGTAGCTTTTCTGCTCCAACACCAGAGCAACTTGATCGACATTCTGTTGATGCACACTTGGCGCAGTATCTTGACACGCACATCCTTTCTCTAGATGTCGAAGTGGCTGGCGGCAGTGCAGGCACAGGAGCCATCGGAGGGCGAGAATCAGAGAGCGAAGAAGGTGAAGTCGGAGACGGGCAGCCTGGAGAAGAAATTTGTACTTCAGCTCGAGGCTCGCACGAGAGAACGCGGTGCCAACGACGCCCACTTCAGGTCTCCAGCGGGCCATCCTGCGCCTATGAGCATGAAAAAGGCTACCGCAAACTACGTCTCCCAGGTCAAGCAGCAAGGAAGCGGGCACCAGCTGGGCAGTCCGCACCTCCACGCGTTCGCCAGTCTTCTCGAGTGCCTCAAGGACACCAACACCGAGGGAAAGCCAGACGAAATCAAAGCGTTGTTCATGGCAATCGGAAGGCTGCACAAGGCGGCAGTAGACAAAGGGCAACCCTCGGACATGGAAGATTTCGTTCACTCGTGCAGGGTCATCGACTATCACGTCAAGACGGGGGGCCAGCCGCTGTGCAGGATCAACTTCTCGGTGGAGGGTCACTGGCCCGTGGGTCGCACGATGGCGGAGGAGCAGGAGTTAGTCGGCATAGAATCGCATCCGCTCGAGCTCGACGCCAACCTGAAGTACATCCACGTCACCGTCTCCAGGCTACTGTCTCTCGCAATGAGGGCGGCAGGGATGACAACACTTCCAGGGAAAGCTCCAGTAGGGGGCCTTGCGCACAGCATTAGAGGCAAGCAGTAGCAGCGATGTTGATTCAAGCAGCCACGCGTCAGATACCAGCAGCCAGTAGCAGCAGTTTCTCTGAAAGTAGGTCTAGCAGGGGACCCGTCCTCCCTCCTTCCCCGCCTCTTGAGCCTCCTCCTCCTCCTTCCGTTCCCTCCTCAGAGACCTCGTGGGAGCAGCGTTTAGCAGCACTTCATTGGAGAGTTTTGCAGAAGGACACCAGGGGCCGCAAATGATTTAACGTGCACCCCCGTGCCTTGTCCGCCCCACTGTGCCACGTCGGCACATTCGTGGGGTTGACGTGGCCTTGCGTTCCCGTGAGTGCTAAATGGCCCCCTGGTGGACTGCCTATCTTCAAGGTAGTGTGATATTTTACCAGGCTCTGCGGTGCATGTGAGTTTGAGAGGGATTTGGACTCAGCATCGATGCAGATTCAGTCAGTCTCCTCCTCCTCCTCCTCCTCCTCTTTCTCGCTCTCTCTTCCATCGGCTCACTCTTCATCCTCCTCATCCTCCTCCCCTCCCCCTGCTCCTCTCGTGTTCTTACCATTGTCCTCCGTTCCCTGCCCACTGCCTTGCTTTCTCCTTGCCCCATCCTCCTGCTCTTCTCCCTTCTCCCCTCGCGCCCCTCCGCCCTCCCCTCCCCGTCAAAAAAGCATGCTTCGCAAGTGGCCTGCCACCATCCACTGTGACGAATCCATTAGATTACGACCATGACTTGATGGCGACCATGCTTCTACAGCTGTAAGCGGAGACGGAGGCCAGCTACTTAGTTTGACCTCTGCCTCCCAGCCCCCCATCCCCAGTGCAATCTACAATTGGGAATGTCACCAAATACTGGCATGGTATCGCTGGAGACACAGCTACTTAACACTTGGGGTAACGAATTCCCCGTCCACGCGCACTTCTGGAAGGGGCTCCGGCCCACCCGCACCGCCCTCGAGGGCCCCGCGGGCAGGCAGGTTCGTGCGTCGTGCGTCCTGCGTCCTACGCCCCCCCCCCCCCCCTCGTCGGCAGGGGTGGCCGCGCCCGCCGCCGCCTGGCCGCTGGCGCACGGCGGCCAGCCCGTCGCGTCGCCTCACGGCGAGCCCACCTCCCGGGAGGAGGAGGCGAGCACGAGGGGAGAGGCCCTCGTGCTCGCCCCCCCTCCCGGGTTTGGTTCAAGGGTCCCTGCTCCTCATGGCGGGGAGTCAGGGGCCCTTAAGCCAGTACGTTGTCAACCAGGGAGTTGATACTTCTACCTGGGGGGAGCGAATGATGAATGTTGCGGCCCAAGCCCCCCGCTTGCTCGGGCGCGCCCATGTCAGGGTTTGTCGACGTCCCTATTTATGGGGCCCAGAAAGGAGGGCGAGGAACTCGAGGAGGATCCCGCGGCCACTCGGCCGCGGGCTCCTCGCCAGGAGGCCTCGACCCTCGACCTCCTCGAGGAGCCCGGGCCCGCGACAGGGCTCGACAGCCCCCTCGAGGCCAGCCCGCCGCGCCTCCGCCGGCCAGCCCGCCGCCCCTCCGCCCACGGCCGCCCCGCCAGCTCGCCGGCCAGTCCGCGGGCGGCCAGGCCGCCGCCGTGTCGCCAGGCAGCCCCCCGGCGGCCGCGCCGCCGCCGGGGTCGGCGCCGCTGGGCGCGGAGGCCAAGGCGAGGAGGAGGGAAGGAGATGGGAGCGGGAGGAGGAGGAGAAGGTACCGATACCGCTGCTCGTCCTGGAGGGCCCTCGTCGCCACGGCTGGATTCTTCTTGAAGGTCTGGTCAGAACGCGCCCCGAGAGACGTCCAGGGAGTTTTTCGTTCCCTCAGATCAGGGGGCGGAGCAGGAGGAGCGAAGAGGGGGGAGGAGCTGGAGGAGGAGGGGGAGGGAGGAATGAGGACTGGGGGGAGGGAGGGGGGATAAATACAACGCTGACTGGAGCGGCCGCGCAGTCTGAGCGCTAGGCCGACACAGGAGGAAGGAGGGCCTCCTGAGGAGCCCCCCCGTGCCTGAAAGCGCCCCCCCCCCGAAGATCACGGGGCGTGTGGCCTGGCAGACACGAGAGCATGAAAGGCGGGCCGGTCCTGCGTGAAGCGGTTGCCCAGCGGGGGCTCGCGCGGGCGCGCGCGCGCGCCTCTCTCCACGGAGCTGAGACCCACCCCAAACAGTAAGCATATGGACAGCATTCGGAGGTGCTAATTAAGCCGCACCCAGGACACCTCGGGATCCCCAACCTCCATTGGCCTCGCAGCGAGAAATCGCGTGTCGGGTTTCCCCTCTCCCCCTGGGCGCTTGCCTTCTAGAAGTAATTTGAACTAACTTCAGACTCCTGGTGGCACACGCTGACAACTCATCGGGCACTGCATAATCTAGCAACAGCAGGCCAGCCTGTCCTGTGTTGTAGTATCCATACTGAGTGCACATCAGGACCTGACCAGATGACATGGATAAGCGGTGGCCGTGATCATGGATGAAAAGCACGAGACCACGGGCAGGCAGCGGAGCTCCAGGGAGGGTCGCCTGGCTTGGAGTCGGTCTGCCTCGGATGCCAGCTCCAGCGCGCCGCCGCTTGACGCGTGGAACAGCTTGCGAACATTCTTGAACGGCGAGCTGCAGCTGGCTGGCCGCCCGCGAAAGTCCCCTGGAGACTGGAGCGACTGTAACCCTCGAGCGAACCGAGCGAAAATCCTACGAGGAGGAGGCGGCGGCAGCAGGACCAGTACCAGCGCCTCGCTTGCGCTGGCTGGCCTCTATCCCAAACGGACCAACGTCCTGGGCCACGCCCGCCGACCCTGTCGAGGGTCCTCGCTCGTCTTCGGCCTCGTAGGCGGACGAGGCAGAGGGCTGCACAGGAACATCCACGAGGGCCGAGTAGGCGAGGTCCACGGCCGCCCCCCCCTCAAGGGGGCCCCCGGACCACGGTGCGTCTCCCAGGTCGGCGCGCCAGAGGAAGGCCGACGAAGAGGTCCGTTGGAGGTCTTCAGGGGTCAGTAGCATGGCCCCTGCAGGCCCAGCAACGAAATTCCAAGTCTTGCCAGTACGACGCTTACCTTCTTAATTTGAGGTTTCCAGGCGAGGTCCAGGCAACCATCAGACAAACTCCGACCTCGCCACAGCAGTGCCTGTTGGAAAAGCTGCGCGACCCAGGCTTCCACCGGGGGGTCGGTGTACATACTCCCTTGAAGGCAGGCCGTGATTCACGAGCGGGTCGACGCGCCAGTTGAGTGCCATGCGTGCCGAAGAATTGCCCACATCTGAGATTCGAGCCGAGGTGGAACTCCGTGAACTCTGGTACCGTGATTCATTGTTGACGGTAAGGCTTGCTTAACAAACTTGCTCACGATGGGGCCAGCTCGCCGAATCATCCTGAAATTGGGAGTCCTGCAGGACGCGCCGCGCTTGGCCAGGGCCCGAATCTTAGCGAATCTGAGAGCGCTGCCAGAGCCCACCTCAATTCCCAAGACCTCCAGAGCGCTGCAATACACGTAGCCCAGGGCCCCCAACTAAACACACACACACGTCTACCTAGTTTTTGGGAGCTGCTGGAACTTGCATGATCAGTCTAGCTGCTGGTGGTCCAAGTTCATAAAAAAGTATGTAGACCACAAGCTGAAGTGCCCTAATTGCCCGCGAACTTGCATTAGCAACTGTACCCGTGATCGAGACAGCGAGATCGGCATCATCAAGGTCAATAGTACGCGGTATTTGTGTGGCATGCTTGTGCAGAGCAGAACGGGCCGAGCGTGACACATTATCGGGCGAATGTGGCAAAGTCACGCCCGTGTGTACACCACGCGTTGTCCAAACGTCGGCAGAGACATTGCTATCCCAGGCAAGCCGCCGTGCGCCTATGTACATACGAATGGCGAGAACCACGAGCTGGCCAGGGAACCCGAACACGCTGGCACTTCGAAGTAATCTAACTCAGGGTACTTTGTCCAACCACTCCCTAATGTCCACAATGGCGTGTATAGAGGCTGAGGGGTCAGGGCCTTCACAGCCTCCCCCCTCTCTAGCAGCAGCGTCGGTGATTGCCTTCTAAACTACCATGGCGATTTAGGGTCGACGCAGGTTCGAAGCTCACTTGCGCGCCCGAGAGACCCGACTTTGGGCCTGAATGCGATATTTGGAGGAAAGTCGGGCAACAGGTCGATAGCCCCCAGCAGGTTTGGCGAGAAGGACAATCTGAGCATGGGCCAGTAGTGAGAGCCAGGACCCAAAGACTTCGCACACGTGCAAGAAGTAGCCGAGCACAGACAAGGCTGCGTGAGATGCGAGCGCCCAATGGCGCGGTCTGAAACGGCTGTGCGGGCTGCAACTGGTGCAGGGAGCACCAACTTCATCCTACAGCCCGGTGGCCCCACAAGGGGGCCGGCGGAGTTTCGAAAAGCGGCCGCTCTCCATTCGAGTAAGTTGCCAGAAGGTTGTCAGGTGAACGTGCGCGGCACTAAGGCCAGAGCCAGATTTTGGAAACGACCCGCGATCCATCTGCGCAGCTGTTTGAAGCAGTGTTTCAGATGAGCGCGCGCGGCGCTAATGCGAGAGCCAGTGACCCGCCCTCCATACGTGCAACGGTTTGAATTTGCACGCTTCAGGGTCGTAGGCGATGAGAAGGGTTCAGGCGAATCTCCCGTCCCGCCTCCATACCGGCACGTCTCGTGGTGCGACGAGCATGTTTAGGATTAGGAGGGAGAGGGAGGGGGGTGGGGAAGAGGGGGAGAGGGACGAGAAGGATGGGGAAGGGTTCAGGAAGGAACGAGGAGAGGGGAAGATGTGGGCGGGACGGAGGGGAGGGCACATCGAGGGGAGGAAATAATGAGGCAGGAGGGCTGGCAGGCAGGAGAGAGCGAGGGGGGCTGGAAGGAAGGAGGGAAGGCGATGAATAGAGGGATGCGGGAGGGAGGACACGTAGGAGGGAGGTCTGCGGAGAGAGGGGGGCGACAGTCGGTTCCTCCAACCTCCACGCGGGCTGCTTTCCAATAGCGCTTCCTGCCACCCCCGCTTCGCTCTTCGCCCCCTTTTCATCTTGTTACTCTTCGCGTTACTATTCAACGTCCCTCTTCCCCTCCTCGTACTTATCCGTAAGTACTTTGCCCCCTGCCGCCGGCCCCCTCTCTATCATAATTGGCTATGTCAGAGCTTAGCTGGAATTCCTTTGCGCAGTTGCGAAGCAATGTCGGAACCTCCTGCGAGGGCGATTGGTAAGTGGCAGACTCAGGTTCAGAACGTAGTGTTGAAGTCCATATTGTTATTCTCGAGGTCCCTTTCGTGCCATGTATGGGAGCAGCGATTCTGGGCTGCTTGAGGCTACGTTGGGCAACATCGCGTGGCTTTGGCTGCCATCTTGGGATGCCTCTTGGGAGCCTGTTGGGGCGGCTTGGAAGCCACTTGGAGCCCTTTTTCACCCTCGCGGGGCTGAAAGCTCAAATCTTTGGTTCGTGGTCCCGCTTTGGACCTCTCTTGGCGCCATCTTCAGGAGTGCTTGGGCGGTCTTGGGTGCCTCCTGAGCTGGCCTGCTGCCCTCTGGGGCCGTCTTGGGGCTCTCCTCGAGGCTTCTTGGGCCGTCGTGGGGCGCTCTTGGCCTCAACGGCGCGAATACCGTGTAGTTTATTTTCAAATCATGGCCTCGCAGGCGAGAGTCTGCAGTAGCGCACGAGGGATCGTAGCGTCGAAGGCGAGACTGCGGTGTAACTTAAAATGGTTTATGGTCCCGGGGACGCGAATGTTGTATAATGTTCGAGGGTGTCTGGTTGGGGGCGCGAATATTTAGTAATTCACACAGGTATATGGCTTCGGAGGCGCGAGTATTGCGTACTGTGCGAGTGTTTATGGCTTCGAGAACGCACTTGTTGCGTTTTTTTGACGAGCGAGGTTGTATGGCTTCGGGGACGCGAATATGGTAGAATTTACGAAAAGTGATGGTCTCGAGGGCACGACTACTGTGGGACTTACGAGCTAATATGGCTTCGGGGACGCGAGCATGGTTTACGAGAGTCTGTGGCTTCGGATACGCGGGTATCGAATCATTTACAACAGGTTTGTGGCTTTGGAGGCGCGAATCTTATGAAATTGTCATGGGTGTATGGTCTTGGGGACACGAAAATCGCATACTTTACTAAGGATTATGGCTTCGGGGACGCGACTATTGCGTAAGTTTTGCAGGCTTATGGCCTCGGGGACTCGAATACGATCTGATTTGCTAGGGTTTCTGGCATCGGGACGCTTACATTGTGTAATTCACTCGGGTTTGTGGTTTCAGGGGCACGAGCCTCATGTATTTTTACGTGTCGCACGGCCCCCCGGGAAGTCTGCGAACCCCGGAGGGGCGTGGTACATTGATGTTGTTCGGTTCCCCCCCTCGCGCATTCAGTAGCAATTAATAGCAGGAAGCAGAAAGTCACGCCATCGCATTGGAAATGGGAAACTGCAACTGGCGCAGAGAGCAGCAAACCTTCGCCCTACAGCCTGGTGGCCCCACAAGGGGGGCGGCGGATATCTTCCTCCGCATCCTCTTCCTCCGTATCCTCCTCCCATCTCCCCCGCTTCCCAGTCTGGTCTTTCCCTCCCCATCCCTTGCCCTCCTCGTCCTCCTGGTCCACTCCTCATCCCCCTCATCCGACTGTCCCTCCTACTCTCCCCCCCACCCCATGCTGTGCTGGTGTGCAAACCGTGCACGGTATCCCACCGCATACCGTTCATGCGGCTGTCTCCCCTCGCCGCGTTTGAAGAATGCCGCGACCTCTGCGGCGTCAACTCGTTCTGCAAGATGGCGGGTGAGCTTTCGTGTGCAACCCTGTCGCGCTCCTGGTCGGGTGGGCTTGGCTCCCAGTGGTCGTGTGGTCTTTGCTCCTGGCTTTACGGTCTTCGCCATTGGCGGTTGTGCGCATCTCCGCGACGATCGGTTGTGCGTTTTGTACTTGGGCCTTTGCGGCAGCTTCTTGTGCATCCAGCCTGTGCCGCATCGTCGGCAGATTGCTTCTGTATCATTGAACGGTTGTTCTGCGCCACGCTGCAGTATCGAACGTTGGTCGGATCGAGCAGGTTCCTGGCCGCCTCCCGTGGCGACCCTACTCCTCTCCTCTCCTCCCCCTCCCTTTCTTCCCATTCCTCTGCCTCCTCGCCCCTCCCTTTCCATTCCTTGCACGCCTTACCCTCCTACATCCTACACCTTTCTTACTCTTCTCCCTTCTCCCCATCCTCCTCCACCACCTCCTTCTTCGCCTCTGCCAATTCTCCGCATCCTCCCCCTCCTCCTCCTCCTCCTACTACTACTACTACTACTATTATTATTACTACTACTACTACTACTACACCTACTACACCTACTACGACTACTACTACTACTACTACTACTACTACTACTACTACTACTACTAGTACTACTACTACTACTACTACTACTACTACTACTACTACTACTACTACTACTACTACTACTACTACTACTACTACTACTACTACTACTACTACTACTACTACTACTACTACTACTACTACTACTACTACTACTACTACTACTACTACTACTACTACTACTACTACTACTACTACTACTACTACTACTACTACTACTACTACTACTACTACTACTACTACTACTACTACTACTACTACTACTACTACTACTACTACTACTACTACTACTTACTACTACTACTTCTACTCTCCGTAAGGGCTTCGCCCCCTGCCGCCGGCCCCCTCTCTCGGCGAATGGGCCATGGAAGAGCTAAGTCATGAGGCTTTGGCGCTGTCGTGCAGCAGTATCGGAACTTCATGCGAGGCCGATTCGCAATCGGCAAAACCAACTGATCACAAGAGGGGTTACCACACAGGGCGATTGGTAAGACGTATATGGTTTACGAGCTTGGTTACCACACCTTGGGATTAAAGGGCCGAGGGAGTACTCGCAGTTTGGGTTACCACGCCTTGCGATGGATGTGCGTGAGGGGTGGCACCGAATTTCAGAAATGTGGCAAATCCCCTGTGTTTTTGGACCCTGACCCCGCGGATCTGCGTGAGGGGTGGCACCGAATTTCAGAAATGTGGCAAATCCCATGTGTTTTTGGACCCTGACCCCGCGGATCTGCGTGAGGGGTGGCACCGAATTTCAGAAATGTGGCAAATCCCATGTGTTTTTGGACCCTGACCCCGCGGATCTGCGTGAGGGGTGGCACCGAATTTCAGAAATGTGGCAAATCCCATGTGTTTTTGGACCCTGACCCCGCGGATCTGCGTGAGGGGTGGCACCGAATTTCAGAAATGTGGCAAATCCCATGTGTTTTTGGACCCTGACCCCGCGGATCTGCGTGAGGGGTGGCACCGAATTTCAGAAATGTGGCAAATCCCATATGTTTTTTGACCCTGACCCCGCGGATTTGCGTGAGGGGTGACACCGAATTTCAGAAATGTGGCAAATCCTATGTGTTTTTGACCCTGACCCCGCGGATCTGCGCGAGGGGTGGCACCGAATTTCAGAAATGTGGCAAATCCTATGTGTTTTTGGACCCTGACCCCGCGGATCTGCGTGAGGGGTGGCACCGAATTTCAGAAATGTGGCACATCCTATGTGTTTTTGGACCCTGACTCCGCGGATCTGCGTGAGGGGTGTCGATTTCCCCCAGCAATTCAGACAACGCGCCCAGGGGGTGCTAAAAATCCTGTTTGGGCCTCCCCCCTCTCGCGCGGTCAATCAACTAGTTACAGTAACCAGCAAGAAGCAGAACTGTAACACTGGAAACTACAAGCTACAACTGGTACTGGAAACTGCGAACCCGCGCCTCGCAGCCTGGTGGCCCCACAAGGGGGCCGGCGGCTACTTACTGCTACTGCTACTGCTACTGCTACTGCTACTGCTACTGCTACTGCTACTGCTACTGCTGCTACTGCTACTGCTACTGCTACTGCTACTACTACTTACTACTACTAACTACTACTACTACTACTACTACTACTACTACTAACTACTACTACTACGACTACGGACTACGAACGACTACGACTACGACTACTACTACTACTACTACTACTACTACTACTACTACTACTACTACTACTACTACTACTACTACTACTACTACTACTAACTACTACTACTACTACTACTACTACTACTATTACTACTACTACTACTACTACTACTACTACTACTACTACTACTACTACTTTTACTACTACTACTACTACTACTACTACTATTACTACTA